TTATCAGTATCAGGACACATCTCCTATTTCTCTATTATGGTGTGTGTCCCATTTGTGTTATAAAAACAAAACAGAAAAACACAGATGTAAAAAAAAAAGAAAAGAAAAAAATACTGATGAAGTAGTAAGCTCAGAACATCCCCATATTTCTTTCTTTTTGTATTCTGGGAAAAATGGTTCATTTGCTTCTCAGATCGTTGACTGTGCATAAAGATTGACACTTTCCAGAAAACAGGATTCACTGGTACAAATCTATATATAGTTAAAGTGGAATATATTGCCATGATATGTAGAAAGATAAAAAAATAAAAGGCAAAAAGATAATTCACAGAAGCAAAGGAACTTTTTACCAGTTATATTTTCAGCTTTGCAGCAACACAAACTATCCAGGTGAGTTTAGGTCGTAGGATGCGGGTGATGATTTTGGGGTCACAGTTTCAGGGATGCCCCAGTATTAGAATTTTTTCACCTTCTATTTTCAACCTCTCTTGGAGTGTGGAAATTTTAGTTGTAAAAATTATGACACTGTTAAGAGAGAAAGAATGAAAGTTCTTTGGAGTGATTCTTCATTTGGATTTGGAACGAAGATGTAAATGTGTCCTTTAGGTATTAGTCACAAAAGTGTCTTTGTCCTTGTTTCTTTACAGAAATATCCTTTTACAAAACAAAACAAAAAAATAATAATAAATTAAAAGAAAAAAATTGTGAAGGTCAATTCCTGGTGGATAGAATTTACATCTTGTTCCTCCTCCTCATCATCATAATCACCATCATCATATGAAACTTCACCTTTTCCAGCAATCTTTTCTCCAAGACTCTTAATTCCTGACACCATGAACTGCATGTACAACAATTGTCTAATGTTCCCTTTTTTCAACTTCAGGTTCCACCAGAACTGAGTGCACAGTCAAGAGGAAGAAGGAGTAGGGGGAGGGGGAGGAGAAGCAGTGAAGAGGGAGGAGAGGGAGAAGGATAAGCAGTGAGGAGGGAGAAGGAGCAGTGAGAAGGGATAGGAAGGATAAGCAGCAAGGAGGGAGAAGGAGGAGCAGCAAGGAGAAAGGATAAGAAAGATGATCAGTGAGAATGGAGAAGGAAAAGCAGTGAAAAGGGAGGAGGAGAAGCAGTGAGGAGGGAGGAAGAGGTGGAGAAGGAATAGTTCAACTGTTGTAACATGTCTTTCATCGATCCTTTTTGCGTGCAATATAAGGAACAATAGGAAGTTTGTGACTTAGTTTTAGTCTTACAATATCCATATTGCAAATCATGTATTAGCTGTGCATATGCAGCCCAATGGTGGATTGTCCAAAGGAAATGATTTTGAGCAAGGCTTTTTACTTTAGAAAATTATTTTGTCTCTTAAGTTCATTCATTCCATGATATATGAAATATCAGTCATTCCATTGATTCATAAAACCATTTTCCTAATATTTTCAAAGTGACTTTCATTCCTAAAACATGGCAAAAATTTTATATAATTCACATATCATTGCAGATACTAGCAAAAGCTCCCAAATGTATATTTATTTTTAGGTGAAAATTCTGATTTAGATCTGCATCAGGTAAAATAGATGTTCCTGTACATGAATCTATTTTATAAGATTTTTTTTTAATCTATACAAAACAAGTTTATATGAAAGGCTTCGTAGAATATTGAGCCACTGTAAAAATGTATAAGGTGTGTCACTTACTTGTAATACTGTTTAATTTTGTATTAGATATGAAATATTTTGCATGAATACTGATTTACACAATAATTTACTATATGACAAATATTTATATTGAAATCCTTTGTTATTAAAGAAAAGGATGATTAACAATGTACATGCAGTTCTTTCTCTTTTTTTAGTTATTTTATTACTCCCTGAAAGAAAGTCATGTATGTAAAAATATGATTATCACAAATTAGTCTTTGAAGAGTGAAATATATTTCTCTACGGTTAAAATCATACTGTATTGCTAAGAACTTTACACTATATATTGGATATCTCATGGTTGAAATACCATGCTGAATGTTAAAAAATGCCATTATATTTTGTAAAGTTGGAATACTTTAAGCTGAGGGATATTTTCAATGATATAATTTTGATAGTGTGTATCAATGCAACAATGCAATGCAAACAAGTACAGTCTTACAGGGGTTTGGTAACATTTATTATTAAGACTGACTGTTAAACTTCTTTATTTAATGAAGTATAGCATATCCTCTCAAAATGTTTCAATACACCTACTGTATTACTGAGAAAGGGAAAGGAGAAACTTCTATGCAGTTGCTGAGCCCTCCAAAAAAGACTGGAGTCAAACATCCCACACTTAACCTTAAGGTAACTTTCCTGGTACTCAAAAGAAAACTATGGAATTCCATGGCAACCATGTCTTGGGAGATGCACCCTTATGCCTCTCATACCATTTTTTTTTTAATGTGAGACTTAATGAACTGGCCACTACATTTTGCCAACTTCTGCTAGCCAAAACCTTTGAAGATAATATTGGTGTTGCTGTACATGCAACACAAACATTACTTCAGTACAGCCCAGTAGTGGTACTGTGTTCTGCAACTCCCAAGAGTTGTGATATCACTTCATATGTATACTCACTAATGCACAATATCACAGAACTACTTGCCACTGTGACCTGAGCACAACACATACAAATTGCAATCATTAACATTGCATTCCATGAGAATGCACACCAGAATTACCAGAATACTGCTCTCCAAACTTATACTTATAATATATCACCCTGGGAGGAGACTTCAGTATCAAACACAAACTGGTGCTAGAGATACAGCAAGAACATAACAATAATGATTATAATTTACGGTCAATAGACAAGGCTCTCGTGACCAGTCAATTTGCATGTCTATTGTACTTCTTATAGTATTATCACCATGAAATCACATTCTTCCAAAAATTATGATGTGACTTGGTTAAAGTGGCTGCCAATCTGCTCTATAATGGGAAGCTTGAGGACACCCAAGAAAATCAACTACTTATAATGATATAGCAGTTCATTACAAAAACAAAGATTACTTTAATGTGAAATGAGTGTCTTCTTATCAGTTTTTCCCTTTAATTTTTGGCATTATGAATTATGCATTTGAAAAATATGAGTAAATAATGATAAAAAAATATTATTCCTGTGAAACACTGTGTTTATTTTCTCAATCATATGAGTATACTCATGAGCATTGAACTAAAATAGTTTTCATGAAATTTGATATCTTTTTTATGCCTTCATTGAAAAAGTATATGATCATAAAATGATTAAAAGAAAAGAAAATTTACAGCATTAGAGGAGAGAAAAAAACAATACAATACGTAGAAGAAAATTTAAATTATCCTTATAATCTGTAAAAGGAATGATATATATAAAGTTTCATAGTCTTTCTTTGGTAAGACATCCCCTTAGAGTAACATGGAAATAGTAAGGAAGTTTATGTTATCATCATCATCCCATATTCACTTTGGAAAGACATAAAGTGAAATTAATAAAAACCTTAACAAAACTCGAATAAGTTTTTCTATATATACATGCAAAACTCTTAATCATCTTGAATTCAAGTAACCAACTAGGACCTGGCTATCTAAATGTCTTAAACACTTGATTCTTAAAATGGTACCATTTGTTTTACTTTTCTAAGATTTTTTTAATCAATGAATCCTCATGGTAAAAGAAAGTAGTTCCCATCGTTTTCAATCATTGAAATACGTATGGAGAGGATATTTGGGTCTGCAGATGAGACTAGGTGATAATTAAAACATCAGTATCACTTGTGTATGATTATGCCTGATTATTTAGCAAAATGTTTGAGAAATTTCATTAAAGCATTTCATAAAAAAAATCATTTAGTCATTGTTGTCATGCAGGACTTAACTAATAATAGAAGCCACTACCTCTGAACTGACTATTTTCTGTTTTTCAGTGTTGGAAAATCTTAGAATATTGAAATAGAATCTTTCTAATGATAGTCAATTATACAACTCATAATGAACCCACCTCGAGTTTATATGACTATTACTAGATGACCTTCATGATGCTGAATCTCAAATGCTCTGTGTGACCTGATTCACAGTTGACTTCATTTCACTATTATTCAACATATAATTGACTGCATTTGTATCTTTCCTTGCTTGTTGAGGTTTTATACATCTAAGGACATCTAAGCACTATTTCTCTATGCAATCTACATTATTCTTTGATTTAAGCACCAAACTTCCAGCTACCTGATAATCAGTAACTTTCTCAAATGACATTTGTTTCATAATTTTATCTTTATTTCTTTCCATTTCCTTTAAACTAGATTTGTATCAGGTCATGATAACAGCTTGATGTTTTGCTCTTGAAAGTTTGTTGCTGGTGTCAAGACATGTAGGAATCACTGTCTTGCATGCCAGAAAAGACATATAACTGGAACATTGAGATTTATATCATATAAACCCACTCTTGCCAGGAAAATATGTTCACTGTAGTACCATTTTGGGAAATGTCTCTGCACATAAATACCTCCACAGGAGCTTTAGCTACAAAGGACCTTGCCTGATTTCATCTTTCCTTTTATTTGTAGATTTTTTTTTTACTAATGCAATCAATATCAATGCTTTATCATTATCATAGACATCATAATTATTATAATGTTATTGACACCACTAACAGCAATATGAGATACCAGAAAATATTTCAGAAAATTAAGGAAACGGTTAAAACATGCCATACCTGATGGCAATGAGTTAACCCAATAATGTTTTGAGGGCCAACATCCATGTCATGCAAACTGTTATTTTAGATTATTAATTCAATTTATGTGCCGATGGCACTACAAGCATTTAGTCAACAAGGAGTCAATTAGTAGGCTAACCTCACCTCACCTGATTACCTTTATCTTTGAATTTTTAGGATTTTTCTTTTTAAATTTCATATTTCATTTTCATTATTATTATATTCATCATTATTATATCATTCCTGACATCAATTGTGGCAGAATGGATAATGAAACACTTACA